AGGAAAGACACTGGGTTGGGTGGAGGTCGTTGTTGTTAAGTGCTTTTGAGTTGGCTCCAACTGATAGCGACCCTGTATAGGGTTTCTGAGGAGCAGCTGGTGGGTTTAAACCACCAGGCTTATCCTTACAGCGCCATACCAGGACTCCACACTGGATTGGGAGAGGAGAGAAATGGAAAGATCTGACTGAGGCATTATGATGAGATCAGATCATTGAGGGACTTGTAAGCCACATTAGGGAGTTTGAACTTTATTTTGAAAGCAGTAAGAGTTTCAAGTAGGGGAGAGTGATGAATTAATATTTATTTTGGCAAAACATTGCAAATATATTAAGACCACATATTGATGATCTTTACTATGTCACAGGAATATATGAAACACAAGAGAATTTAATTTATTCCTTTCCCCATCTTTTTTATTTATTCAAAATTGGTCAGTATACAGTTTAGTTGCAAAATACTTTGGTCCATGGCATTTCATGAAATAGTTTGAGAATCACATAACTTGGATTTTAGATGTACAAGCTTGTGGTCCAGGAAACTTACGTAACTTTCTCGATGTCAGAAAACCCACCAGTGGAAGGGTCAGAGTTGAAATATGATTTTAAATATAGGTGTCATACTACTGCTTTCCCCAAAACACTACTGCCACTGTGGCAGCTTTCATGTGGGGAGCATCAGTACTCTTTCTAACCTGCAAAAGAGTAGGAAATTCCAACCTCACAGAGTGGTTAACAAGATTAAATAAGCAGGAAGCACAAAGTATAGACAAATATTAGTGTCTGCTGTTAAGTACCATCGAGTTAGTCAGTTTAAAAATTCGTGATTATTAAGTTTGTTGTTATTGTTAAGTGCTGTCAAGTAGATTGTGACCCATAGCGACCCTGTATAGGGTTTCCAAAGAGCAGCTAGTGAGCTTGAACCAATGATCTTGCAGTTCAAACAACTTTGTAATCGGACTCATTAGCGCACAGCACCACACCAGGACTCTCTATATAGACATCATCAAAAAGTCCCTGTACAATGCCTTGATTATTATACAAATTATATAGCACTTAGGTGGCCCTGGGGGCTAAGTCTGGGCTGCCAACTGCAGCATTCTACCAGCATGCGTCTGCTCTATTCCATTCTATACGCTGTCTGCTCCTGAAAAGATTTACAGTCTCAGATGAAGCCCTATGTAGGGTCACTGTGAGTCGGAATCAACTCTCTGGCAGTGGTTTTGGTTTACATATGTGTGTTGTTAAGTGCCATCAAGTTGGCTCTGACTTATACTGACCCCGTATACAGGGTTTCTGAGAAGCAGCAGGTGGATTTGAACTGCTGACCTTGTAGTTTTGTCCAGTGCTTAATCTACAGCACCACAAAAGGAAGTACTGTAGTTGGGGTTAAGTGCCATCAAGTCATTCCGACTCATAGTAACCCTGTATAAGGTTTCCAAGGAGCAGGTGGTGAATTTGAACTAACTTTGCTTAACCTTGAGGTCCAGTGCTTATCCTAGGGCACCACACCAGGGCCAAAGTTGAATAGCTAATATAAAATGTACATAAACTATACACACTTTCAGAAAACAGCATACACATTCAGGAACACCTAATATATGAATACATTATATATGAGTATTAACTTTTGGTGTGGCACTGTAGGATAAGCACTGGACTGCAAACCACAGGTTGGCAGTTCAAATCCACCAGCTGCTCCTCGGAAACTCTATACAGGGTAGCAGAGTCGGAACCGACTCGATGGCACTTAACAACAATGTAGATTAATACATGGCACTGATTTTCATTAAACTGATAGTTTCTTAAGCACAGAGATTATGTTTTATTTTCCTTTATTATTTCAGAATAATTTGAAAGTACAGTAGCCAGAAGAATCAAAAGCCCAAACTCACTGTTGTGGAATCAATCTCAACTCATAGTGACCCTGTAGAACAGAGTTGAATTGTCCCTATGAGATTTCCAAGGCTGTAAATCTTTACATAAGTACACTGCCACATCTTTCTTCCGCAATTGGTGGGTTTGAAACACCAGGGCTTCTTGGAAGAAGGCGACCTTCTGTTCTTAGGGCACAAAACCCCACAATCACACATCCCTATTCGGGTCTGGCTAGAACTCTAGCACTCAGAGGCCTCACGGCATTCTAACTTTGCCCTGGGTCGATCTCTGCAGCTACCTTTCCTTTTTTTGGCCAGAGTTGCCTCCAAAGGTAAAGGCCCAACCCAGCGCTCTTCAGTCTCTTCGTCATTTTCTTGGGTCACCGACACTGCCAACTCCCGTTCGCTGGGCTCCGTTTTTTCCGGGTCCTCCTGGTCCCGGCGCCTTCTTCTTTTCAGCTGTGAATCACCACCACCTTCTGCCGCCATGCTGCCCCAGGCGTCAGGAAATGAGCGACACTCTCCGCTCAACTACCAATCTCAAACCAGCGGCGCAGTCTTTTCGTAAACAGCCAGGGAGTTTCTTGATTGGCTGGAGTAGGCGCGACGGATCCAATCAGCAAGCAGCGCGCGCGTAAGTACTTGGCCCTAGCCGCGCAGACGCGATACAGGCTGAGAAAACTTGGAGTTCGTGGTGCTGTGTAAAGGTAAGAGGTGGGTGGGAGGGCGTTTGATTACTGTTGAAACGTGCGGTAGAGACGGACATCGTGCGGGGTATGGGATTTCAGCTCCGAAGGTTGAAATCTTCGGCCGGGGAACACGCCTCGGATCCCTTTCCTCTCGGGCTCTTGTGCCACTTCCAACTCCAAAACCCCGGGGCGAAGACCGAGGGGTGGGACATTGAAGGGATTGGCGAATTTGGGGACCTTCCATCTATTGAGATGTAGCGCTGTGGGTTAATGCGCTGGACTGCAAAGTCAGTTTGAACCTCACTGTCGGCGGTTCAAGCTCACCAGCCGCTCCTTGGAAACCCAAAACAGGGTCGCTGTGGGTCGGAACCGACTGACGGCACTTAACAACATCAAATGCTCCAAATAACTCAAAACCTGAGCTCTTTTATTGTCGTACCCACTCTGATGCGGTGGCGGGTCCTCATTATGGTTTTCAAAGAGGAAAACAACCTATCTCAAGATTTAAACTAACGTGGCCGTACTCCCTTCCCCCTGGTTTAGGCTTTCATCTCTTAGCGGCATTCTGAACGTCAGGCTCTCTCTTTCTCTCTCAATAAACTAATTTTTTTTCGAGCAACTTTAGGCTTAAAGAAAAATTGTACAGAAAATACAGAGTTCCCATATATCTTTCTCTCCCTCCTGCACACTGTTGCTTTTGTTACTAACAGCTTACATTCCTGCGGTGGTGGTAGTTGTAAGATGTGGACTTGGTTCGGAGTCACACAACAGAACCAAACACTACCGGCC